TAAAAGAATTATTTTAAATCTACAGCACTGTGGGGAGACTCATTCACTCATTGGCTCGATTAACAATCTAGTGAGGACCTAGCAGGCACCAGGCACTTTTCTAGGTTCCAAAAAGAGAACAGTCAACAAAACCAAGTCCCTGATGTCACAGAGTTGGCATTCAAGTGTTCCATTAAGAACAGATAATAAAATGATAAAGTCCACCTTTCCAGCTTTGACCATTCTTATCATTTCGTAGTATTTGCTTAATATTTTAAAAATAAACTAATATGGCAAATACCATTCAGGCCCTCTTGTTACTTCTCCCAGTCCCCACTTCTCTCTCTCCTGAGGGGTAACTTCTCTTGAGTTGGGGTTCATCATTTCTATGCATGTTTTTACATTTATATTTCATATGTTTCTATACATGAATAACATCCTATGGTTTTGCATGCCTTAAAACTTTCTAAAAATGACATACTGTAGCATCCTCCACTCCTTACTTTATTCTCTCTACATTGGTTTTTTAATAGGTTTATTTATTTATTTTGAGAGAGAGTGAGAGAGAGAGACAGAGCATGAGTGGAGAGGGACAGAGAGAGAGAGAGAGAGAGAGAGAGAGAGAGAGGGAGAATCCCAAGCAGGCTCCATGCTGTCAGCACAGAGCCTGATGCGGGGCTCAGTCTCATGAACTGTGAGAATCATGACCTGAGCCAAAATCAAGAGTCACATGCTTAGCTGACTGAGCGACCCAGGCGCCCCTGTCTACCTTGTTTTTAGATGTGTCCACGTTGTTACTTGGGGCTCTACTTCATTCATTATAACTGCTGTATAGGATCCCTTTGAATGACTGTAGCACTATTTTTTCATCCTCCTATTTCCTATGGAAATGTTGGTTGGTTCTCTCTCTCTCTTGATTGGTTCACTTTTTTTCTTTTTTCTTTTTTTTTTTTTGCCATTACAAACAATGCTTCAGTGAATGTTATTGTACATGTCTCTTTGCATAACCTACAGAAGAGTTTCTATCTATACGTCTAGGAGCGGAAGAACTAGTTATATAAGGACAACACATCCTCACACTCATTACATATTGCAAATTATTCTTCAGAATGGCTGTGCTAACTTATAGCACAGTATATTTTTAAAACCTCCCTATTTTGCAAAATCTTTAGAACCAGAGATGGGAGCTGATGATGATCAGTAATTTTCTTTCATAAGATATAAAATGAATATTGAGAATATCATTCCCTGTACCCTCCTCAGTGACTAATTGTGCTTCTCATCTTGGCAATGGCAGTGGAAGAATTCGGCCCTAGGCCCCTATCCCCTCTGAGTAGCACCATTAAGAATAACAAAAATCCAATCGAATATATTCAAGGAAGGTAAAACTGGTGCCAGTCTATCTTCAGCTGAAGAGAAATTTAGGAAGACAAATGTTCACGTAAATAGGGTGACTGACATTACTTAACCCCTCTGCCTTTTGTTACATCCCCCCAAATACAATTGTCTCTGTTGATGTCTAGGCAAAGTTCAGCAATTTTCTGGAATCCCCGCAAGCACTAGAGAGGGAAAATTCATATTTAGAGGGTTGTTCAAAGACAACTGATTTTTTTCCCTCCCACCAGGTCTAAATCTGAATTTGCAAAATCAATAAAGCCTTAAATCAGGTTTTTCTATTATTATTTTTAAACTTTTTTTTTGTTTTCCCCTCTCCATTCCTACAGAGTATAATTGCTCTTTCTGTTGCTTCTTCCAACAAACTATTTTACTATTTTGAAAAGAATTATTTCAAGTCTACAGAACTGTAGGGAGAGTCACTCACTCATTCACTCAGTTAACAATCTACTGAGGACCTACTACGCGCATAGGCACTGAGCTGCGGGGCAGCGTGTTGGCCTAGGGCATCAGCTCCACACCCAGGATTCTGGGTGCCCATCTGAGCTTCTCCTCCACCTTAACATTGGTCAACTTAATCTCCCTTTGCTTCAGTTTCTTCCTATGTGAAGTGCAATTAACAATAGTAATAATAGTAATAGTGTGAATCCTGTAGGACAGTCAAGATCAAAACAGTAAGTGGTGCACAAGGACATGTGATGTGTTACTAGAGCCCTGAGGCAAGTGCTTTTTTTTTTTTTCTGCCCAGAAAAGAAAGGAATGGGCTTTAGGAAATAAAGTTCATATGCAGTAACTCAAGTGTCAGAGCTCTAGATTTGCTCTAGAGAAACACGCACGCGCGCGCACACACACGCACGCGCGCGCACACACACACGCACACACACTACAGTACTGTACTCTGAATTAATTATGGAACAAATGCTCATTTAGATGAGCTATGGCCTAACCCTAAAGGGCTTGGCCTTTGAACCTTCAAAAGGCCATCGTAGAGTGGCCCCTGAGCCAGTCCTGGATCAGAAACCTTGTGCACCTGAAGACAATTTGATCGCAAGGTTGCTGGCTGTTTTTATCATGATCCGTTTATTTTCCTGTCTTTGCCATTATGAGAGGCTCTAGATGTCCTCAGAAATTCAGTATCGTGTTAAACAGCATACAAATTAGGGGAATGAATTAAGAAAAGAGCCTTCGTTATTGGCGTAAGTGAATTCTTAGGGCTGCAGCAAGCAGATATTCAAATCCAAGCTGAATATTTCCATAATTATAAAGATTTCCCTGCCCATAATGCTTTCTGGTGGCTAAGCTCCATGAGGGCAGAGGCCATTCTATCCTCAACATAAAGCACTGCACCTGACACTTGGTAGGAAGCCAGTAAGTATCTGTAAGATGGATGGAGAGACAGATTGTAACATGGGTTCCTGAAGAACAAAGGAGACTGAATTTATTTAAGATGATTGAGAATTAAAATAGAGCATAAATAACAAGACAAGGGACCATTCTTTTCAGAGCCATGATTGATTTTTAGCTTTTCTGGAAGCTTTTCAGTTTGTATCTACAACCGGCCAAGTGAACAGATGAGCATCTTACACAATGTAGAGTTCCTTACAAAATGATAAAATTTTATAAAATTTAAATTATAAATTATAATTATAAATTATAAAAATTATAAAAATGCCTCATGTTGGAACACCACTTCATAGCTTGCAAAGCCCCTTCACATAATGACAGAACTAATGATTGTTTGAAAACTATGCGCCAGGATCTACGCTAAGTGCTGTGCATACATTGCCCCATTTATTCCTCAGGCCAACTCTGAACTGTAGTTTTTATAATTCCCATTTCACACATCAGAGAACTGAGGCACAAGGTAAGTGACTTTTCTAAGGTCACTAGGGTTTAAATCTAGACTTGCTTGGACTCCAGAGTCAGCACTGCCTCCGGAGAAAGCCTGGGAAAGACGGCAGGTGCTGTTTCTATCTTGCAGATAAAGAGATGCCATGAACGACACCAATGTGTTCCAGACAGGACTGGAAAGAAAGGACTTCCAGTTCCAGTCCAGTGCTGTTTCTCAGTACCATGTTACCACGCACTGACCTTCTAGAAGAATCCTCTATTTACCTACACCAGATTTGGAAGCATTCTTTGCTCCTCCTACTGGTTTCTTATTCTTAGATATGGAATAAGTGACCATGGTATGCTTACACAAGACACTTTGTGACATGGCTTATGTGCTTAACAATGACCATTCACTTAGGAGACATGGCTAGTGCATCCTACATGTTAAGTCCAGCTGTCCCTGCTGGGGGCACTGGGGACAGCTTCCCTGAGGAAAGCACACTGAAGCTCTGGGAAGTGCATCCATTTGTCAGATGTGCAAAGAAGCAGGTTGAGATGGACCCCCAGACCGTTACTCTACCCAGGATTTGCTTGTGCCTCGGTTCCCACCACTGCCTGTCACCTGCATCTCCTTGCTTCTCCAGAGTTGCCAGCAACTCTGTCCCTTGCCAAAATGATTATTCTTAGAATAAGCAAAGCCTTCATTGCATTTTGGATCATCAACCAGTGTTGGCTCTCCTAGACTTTTCTTTAATATCAGAAACTGCATGTCCTAAGCGAATGCCACAGTAATTTAATTGGTTGGCATGCACGGGCTCCCTTGTGGGGCAGTGCCATGGAACTGAGCCATTTCTCATATGTTGGCAACCTGCATGTCATCCATCTTGCTCAGACTAAAGCTGGAGCAGCCTGGCTGAAGTTTTCCCTCAGGAGTCCACAGACTATTCTAGTGAACTGAAGGGAGGGAGGCCTTACCCTGATGGTGGTGAGCCTGTCCGTCCTTGATGTCGTCACCTCGCATTTTATTTGTTAGCATCTGTGGCCCTGACATTGCGTTGGCATGCTCGGATTGCTTTTTATTGGCCTGGGAGACTATTTTTCTTTCCGCTTAGTTTCTCTTGGCAGTTTGGTTATACCAAAGTAGACTTTCATGATATAAATGTGATCATAGCTTATGTGAGTCCACAGAGCTTGAGAGATTGAATCCACACTGGTCCAGTTGTTTGGGATTATTTTCCCGTTTACTTGTTCACAAAGAGACTAAGACGGTCTATAGCTGTGCTGTCCAACATGGTAGTCACAGGGTCCCTGAGGATATTAAAATTAAAATTAATTAAACTTGAATGTTCAGTTTCTCAGCCACACTAGCCTTATTCCTTGTGCCCCACAGCCATGTAGCTTAGTGGCTACCATACTGATAACACAGATAGTAATGTCTGTCAGACAGCACTGATCGGATAACAGGTAGAGATCTGTGTTATCAACACACTTAGTGCAGAGTCAAGTGTAGTTCAAAAAGAGGTGCAGAGCATTTCAGGGTAATTAAATCCTTCTATATTGAAAACTATGGGTCACAGAGCAAATGAAATCTGGCTTGGAAATGAGTGCATATCCAGAACCAACCAGCCTGCTTTACTGACCATGTCTCTCCTATCTCCCAGCAGTATCAGACCGTCTTACGTTCCCTTTATTATATGCTATTGAGAAGGAAGGAGGAAAGACATGGAGAAGTTGATTTGTGTACATAGTGAACATCCACGAACTCTGGTTAATTTTTTTCCCTCTCTCTTCAGGTCCTTGAGGCCACACGGGTTAATCGAAGAAAGAGCGCACTGGCCTTGCGCTGGGAGGCAGGGATCTATGCCAACCAGGAGGAAGAGGACGATGAGTAACAAACTTCCTTCCACCCAGGAAGCTTCTTTGGTGCTTGGGTTACCAAGAAACCAAGCAATCAACACATTGAAGCATTTTAATGGAATATTTATTAAAGTGCAAACAAACTCCACAATCCTTATGTAGACCAGAAGCTGCAATGACCAACGATGAAAAATAAAGTAAAAAGAAGCCTACCCATCAAACTCTATAAACACCCAGGAGTCAAAAGACAAAGGATTTTTTGAGACTCAAAAGAATCACCTGGATTTGGACCAGTCCACAATTGATCCAAAAGGACAAAGCAGTAACAAGCAAATCAACATGGTTGCTCCAGGCGGAATTGAGACCAGCCTCGCTGGGTGATGACAAACATTGGTGACAGGGCCATTTAGAGCTGCAGAGCCCACGCCGGTGCAATCTACAGGGTGTTGGAGACTCCCAGCACCGGTTCCCTACCGTCGCTCACAGCATCAGAGGTGTGGGAATAACTCCGTTTACTCCAGCAGCCGTAAAATGAAATGCAAGTTTCTCTATATCTGCCAGGAGAGGCAATTAGGATTCCATTTCTCTTACATCTAATTGTTTTTAATTGGGAGCAATTAATGATCGCAATATATAAAATCCACCTTCTTAAGACAATGTTTCTTCATGTTGCAAACACAATCTATTCTACATGAGGGGGTTGAGAAAGAGGGAGAAAGCCAAACCAAATGGATGATTTTAGCTTTAGGATCTCGTCTGCTTGTAGTATTGACTAATTTGCCGTTTATGAGAACACATTTTCACAATTATGTTTCTTCATATGAAAACTATATTTAGTGGGCAACAACTATTTTTATGATGGGATGGGGGGAGTATATCCATGTATAAAATCTGTACACATCCAACAGCTTGGCTCAAGATGGTGGGGGTATTTTTAGAGTGGCAATAATTGAAAAAAGGGCAAACTCTGCCTTCGAGAGGCAGATGACAGGAAATAAAAAGGTGTTTATAACTATATTTTATATTATAAAGTGGACCTTAGTAGGAAGAATGACAGATTATTTTGGATCAATCAGAAAGGAATCATTAAAGAAAGGACATGAAGGTAGACAGAGAAACAGGGAGGGAGAACGTGGGAAATTAAGGAAGTAACAGATATTATTTTTGCTGAGCAACCAGCGTTTTTCAGAATGATAAAGAGAAAAATATAGAATAGAAATCTAAGTGCAGGCTTGGAATCAGCTACAAATCCTAAAGATGGTGTGTGTGTGTGCGTGCGTGTGTGTGCGTGTTTGTGTGCATGCGTGTGCGTATGCGTGTGCGCGTGCGTGCCCGTGCGTGCTCATGCACGTCCCTTTGTGTGTTTGGGTAAAGTGTGTGTGCAAGGATTAAAATTCCAGAATGCTCATGGGACAAGGGTGTACAGTTATTTCCTCCAAAGCTGTTTGCCAGCGTCAGGAGTGAGTGAGAATTTCTTTTTTATGAAAAGGGATATAGAGGCACCGACCTGATGCAGTATTTGTAATATTAAATTGACCTAACATGGTATTTGCATGAGTCACAATTGCAAAGTTTTGAGCAGTTTTGTAATTTGACATTTAGAGAAGTTACCGTATTTATTCTCATGCTTTGTATTCATAGCTTAGTATACTGTAAAGGATGCCAGCTCTATCTCACTGTCATTTAAAGCAATATGAAATGGGTATTCAATAATTGGGTGCCCTGAATTTCTGGATGAGAAAAGTTTTTAATTCTGGCCATGAGAAAAAAAACTGACCAGCCTTTCTTTTTTCTATTTGTTTTAAAACTATGGTTTTTAAAAGAGCAATAATGAAGCCAGACCTCACTAAAATTCCTTTTTGTTTTTATACTGTTATGTCATAAGCTCTAATATGTTATTCTGACAAATAACAACTCCACAACAGTGTGTACGTAGATGTTAGGCACATGACCTTTGCTTCTTTTAATAGTGTAGTGTTGACTTTAGGGGGAAAGTTTATTCACAGGCAAGCGGTAGGCATAAAGTAGAAAGGCAACCATCTGATAACTTACAAGGATCCTTTAAAACTGCCAAAGGCACCTGCAATTTGAAGCCAAATCCTAGAGATCGGTGGCTGGCACCATCTTTATGTGGTTTATTCTCCTGAATATCGTGAAGGAATATTCAACAAAATGTGCTAGCCACTGGGGACACAAAACAAGATCCCTGCTGCAAGGAATTCATTTTCAAGTGGGGGAGGCTGGCATGGAGACAGACATTCCCAGGAAAATGAGGTCTGTGTTAGACTAGAAGTCCTGACGGGTGAAATGGGAGCCCCCAGGAAGGCTGCCTTGCCTGAGGATTTTCAGCGTTCCCATGGCAGGCATGTGACTAAAAGATGGGACAAGAGCTTCCTGTGGCTCAGGGGCACAGTGGCAGCTAGGATGGCTGGAGAGCAGATGGTTTTATGAGATGCACAAAAAAAGAAACATGCTTCGTGTTTTCTGGACTAACTCTGAATCTGGTAGAGAACACAGACTTGATATAGACAAACACTGTCTTTCCCAAGAGGAAACAGCCCTCAGGACCCACCTGACATTGTTGTGTTTTGAAGGAAGCCGGGTCCCCACCCATCTTAAACCTACATTTGAGAAGAGAATTTGCAGCTGAATGGGAAGCTTAGGAGGCCACCCAATTCGTGGAATCTTTTGGAGGCAGACGAATTGGCCTTTGACTACAGTTGACTGAACCAGAAGCATTGCCTAGAGTTCTAGCAGGGATCCTTTGGTCCTCGCTCCACGTGTAGATAAGGCAACAAATGCAGAGTTTCCGGGAGCCTCCCACAGTCACAGCGCTGCTTAACTGTGGCCCCTACATCTGCAACATTCGCTTGTTCCCTCTGCTGCCTTCTGAGGAGTGCTGTCGATTTCCTTGGTCCACTCACTTAGAATCCTATTAAAATGTAAATTGCAGTTCCCTTGGAAGAGCCAGGTTTTCTCTGTGCTCTTGAGTTTTTTTACCCGTTCAGAAAACATCGGGCTTTGTACACAGCACCGTGCCAGGCCCTGGGATCCCAAAGGAACCCCTTTAACCTTCTGAACATGCAACAGACCCCTGGAGGAGGGTCATTACTGCCTAATCCATCAAGAGGAAGAGGCCTGTCAAAGAAATTGGCCTCTGATGCTCCTCCCTGCCCCCAAATAGCACGCAAGCTTGTTAATCTCAACTAGAACAAATGTTTAGATTCTGTAGATGTTAAAAGCTTTCCTGAAAGCGTTCCCTTCCACAGTGTTTATAGATGTTCACTTTCCTCGGGAGCTGATTAACTACTGACATGCCTTGGCTCTCTCATCCAGAAATTATGGAAACAGGGTCTGTCAGTGGTAGGAGGCTGGGCTGTAGTCTACTCGGGTGACACAATGCAATTTCCTTGCCTCTTTACACCTCTGCATGCTGCCCACCTTAGACAATGACGTATAAGCAGTATATAGATCAGTGTCCACGTACATACACAACACAACACAACACACACATATAAGGTGTAACAAGAAACACTAAGACAGTGTTGACTCTTGTCTCTGAAGACAAACATTTTTCCAACTCAAGAATGGATGTAATTAAACTATGTATTGAAAAAAAAAAATAGCCTAAGTGTTTAGAGATGGTGAATATATCCAGTTTTAGTGACAGAACCAATTTCCTGAATTTTAAGCATTCAGTGAGTGAACTGCCAGCTTTGATTTTGTGTTGCCCTTTACCCAAATGACTTTTTTTTTTTTTGGAGGAGGGGTGGGGGTGGGAAACAGCAGCAATACTGTGTTTGAAAATTATACTCTGTATCTGGCTCTCCTGTGTATGTTAACCACTTAAATGTTATCCTGCTTCAGTTTTATAGTGATTGTGAGGCATTCGATGCAAGTATACAATTATTTTCTCATTAAAACCCGGTGTGTGCTGTGTTTTTTTTATAAACCATGGCTACTTGTTTGACTGGGGGTGGAGGGAGGTCAGAAGACGGACCCGCCAAACGGTGACACGCAGGCGCCCTTGGCCTTGACTTCTGTGTGTTGGCATCTGCCTCTTGCATACTTGAACCACAAAGGCTATACCAGCTGGTGGGGCAGTGGTCCCCAGCCTGTGACAGGCTGTCCCAATGCCCCTTTTTGCCATGCTGTCTCCAACTGCCCTGGCTAGAGCCTAGAAACCTCTGACGGGACCCCGGAAATGATTCGGGTGCCTCTGGATGAGGTAGGTGTACTCCAAGGTCAGAGATGGCGGGGCAAACAGTAGGACAAATGGTTAAAACTCAAGCTTTGCATGTGGCTCCTGGGTTCTAATTCTTACTATCACATTCTCAGCACCTGTATTCAGCTCCCCTCTGAAGAATGGAGAATTTCAGACTTTAAAGAGCGTATGAAGACCACAGATTAATGAGGAAGCTTCTTCCCCAAATTTCCTCGTGCCCTCCCGTCTACTCCCTCACGGCCACTTCAGGGTCCAGCTGCCCCGTTCACCCTCTGACCCCTCACACTTACCTGTAGCGCAGACCTTCTGTCTCCGGCTCTTTCCCACCACCGCCACTCTCCTTGGGGTCTCTTCCTCCATCTCTCCCATCTATGGGACTCCTTCCAACATTCTGGGGCAGCGCGTTGTGATCAGCTAGGGATTCCGCGTCCTGGTCATTTTTGCACCCATCACTACTATCATCTGGGGGTGCTGGGCCGTGCCAGGGAAGTCACGTGCACAGGGCTGGGTACTCGGAACGGGTTGCAGAGTCTGGTATGTCAGGGTGGAAGGGATCTTCAAGGATTCTCACGGAGGAAGCTCTTAGGGCAAAACTAATGCGAGGCATTACTACTAATGGGTAAAGGGCAGATATGCAGGCTTTTTGCTGTGACCCAGACCTATGGTCACTACTCCGGGTTCATCCCTCCCTGTATATGTTGGTGTCAGACAACCGTTGTGGGACACCTGAGGCCATGAAGTCACTTTGGAGCATTGCTCATTTTAATTATGGGATTCCTATGCCATAAGAGTGTGGTGACTATGTATCTCCCTGCACAGAACCCACACAAAATTCAGAATGGGGCTGCCGGGAGCACAGAAAACAAGTGGGGAATTGAAAGGGAGACTTTCAAAGGCTTTAAAGATGATACCAAGGCAAAGAACGGGGTCTCAGGAAATAGTTGCAGATGGCATACCTGCAATTTCTTTTTTTTAAGTTTTCTATTTTTTTATTTTAGAGAAAGAACATGAGCAGGGGAGAGGGGCTCCTAAGAGACTCCATGCTCAGGGCAGAGCCTGACGCAGGGCTCGATCCCACGACCCTGGGATCATGACCTGAGCTGAAATCAAGAGTCGGATGTTCAACCGCCCGAGCCACCCAGGCGCGCCCCCACGCTGGCAATTTCTAAATGTCGCCCAAGCATTCAGATGTTTTCTTTCCGAGAAAGAACAATGTTTGCATAATAAAAAAAAATTTTTTTTTGTTTTAATTCTGCCATGACCTAGTCATGTGTGACCTAGTCAGTGTCAGTTAACCTTGACGGGAGAATTATCCAGATGCTTTGTTCTCAGTTCACAGGTGGTGGGCTCCGAACAATTGGAATGGACGTGCCGGCACCTGGCAAGGTAAAGTCACAAACCTCTCCTTTGCTTCCTTTTTCTCTGCCCACCCACTGAGGCCACATTCTGTCTCTGCAGGGGTCTTCAGCTGTTTATACTGATGTGCCTCAGGGGAGCACTGGCTCTCCTGCCCCAGCAATAGTCTGTGTCACCTGGAGGGCTCATTAAACACAGATTCAGCCTTCTGATTCAGTACGTCTAGGGTATGCAGCCCAAGAATTTTCTAACTAGTTCCCTGGAGATGCTGCTGGTGGTGATGGTCCAGGAACCTCACTTTGAGAATCACTGATCTGGAGTAAGTAATGAACGAGGTCTGGGCATTCCACTTACATTTGAAAATGGGGGATTGATGCATGATTTATAAGCTGCAGATACAGTCACACATCGTTCTGGGTTGTTTTGAATATTTGTCGGGGGCTTTTGTGCATTTGTCCAGCATATCAACTCAATGCTTTGTGGGTCTTGGTGAGGCAGAGCTTTGATTCCATTCAGACTGTCGAGAAAAGACAACCTCCCCACCCCCAGCAAAGAGGCTGAGCAAATTAAGAAGAAAATGTAAAGAGAAGATAATACCTATCATCTATCTATCTATCTATCATCTATCCAGACTTTGATTCCAGGGTAAGATCAAGGGATTCGTTTGATCTTTGGAAGAAGTTTTTATTGTCTGGGGTGATAGCAACATCAGGACTCCATAAGTGTTGTTTTGCTTTGTTTCGTTTTGTTTTACTAACATGGTTGCACGGTTTGAGATAAGATGCAAAATAAAAGGCCATTCTCATTTGGTCTAGAGCAGCACTTCTCAATTCGGACTCCATCTGAATCACCCAGAAAAAGCTTTAAAGTTTGGATTCATTAACGGCTGGAGCCCAGACATTAAGACAACTTAAAAGCATCTCAGGAAAGACTCATATGCACCAGGCTTGTGCCTCACTGTCCAGTTCTGTGGCCCCTAACCCTGGCTGCACCGCACATAGGATCATCAGGTGTTTTTTAGAGAGACTGGCCCTTGGGCTTCACCCCAAGATCTACTGATTCATTTCGTCTTAATTGGACATGGCTATGAACGTGGGCATGTTTTAGTAGCTGCCAAGGTTGAGAAGCTATCATGCAGCCAAGGTTGAGAATCGCTCGTCTAGTGGAGAAATGTGTTTGCCTCACAATCTGACCCTCTACAGAAAGTTCTTGGGGCAACATCAAAATAAAGTGAATAAAAGGCCTTGAGGAGCTGAACTGGCCCCTCTCACGGGTCCCAGGAGACAGAGGGCAGTGTTGGTGACTGAAGGAGGGACTCTGCAAAGGGGCTTTGTTACTCCTTCTCTGATACTCACGGCTCTGCTCCCTCCACCCCTCCAGCTGACAGCAGGCCCAGTGGTTAACACTTGGGTAAACTGAAGAATGAAAAAGCTACAAGGGAGGCATGTTCTAGCCTCTAATAGCTGCACACTGAGCAAAAAGCCCAAACGGACAAAGACCAAAAATGTCACCGGACTATTTCTGGGAGATGAAGCCAAGGTCATTCCGTTTTCTTCATAAGCGTTTGCAGATTTCTGTGGTATAAATATTCCTGCAATGGCTGACTTCAAGATGCCAACAGTTTAACAATTGGTCCCCAGGATCCCTGAAATTTCACAATTGGCGGAGAAAGAAACTACTGTGATTAGAAAGCGCAGGCTATCCTAGAGGTCTGGAGCTAGAGCTCTCACTAACAGAGCTTTCATTGGCCGGAAGTGGCTCTTCTGAACCAGTCCCAGCAGGTAGCAATCAGGGACTCGGGATTCTGACCATCTCGTGTGATGAGCGTGATGAGTCCCAGGTGGCAAAAACAGCCAGCCTAGGTCATGTGCACACTCCGGTTGCTGGGGTCTGTGGTGGAGGAGAGGAGAGGAAGGAATGCCGGGAAGACCACGTATGTGAACCCAAAGAGCCCGTGCTGCAGACGATGTCCCTGCTCGTATGGGTATTTCCATTGTCACTGTCAGTGTCCCTCTGACAAACCTTTGGGATCAGACAGGGACCTCAGATTTGAGGCTCACCACTTCTTCAGTGGAACCTTTGACCATTTACTTACTCTAGATTGGATTTCTGACTTCTGGAATTGCTGTGGGGAATGAATATAAATGGTTGGTACAGATGTGCTCAGAGTTTACTTCCTTGAAAGCCCTGCATTCAGTCAGCAAATGCTTACTGAGTGCCTACTATGTGCCCACCTCTGTGCATATGAGGACAAATGAAAATGAGGCTCGTTCAGATGGTTTTGACTGGAATTGGAGGGGCTGTTAGCATTGGGAATGTGGGGACAGAGCTGCTTCAAAGTCAGGCAATGTTTCCACAGCTGCCTGTTAAATAGGGCCATCCTGTGATAACCTGCACTGTCTTAGCATGCTTTTAATTATTCCTCGTGGCATAGGACCCATATTCTTCTGGGCAAGAGAGAGAAAGAGATCCAAGTGAAAAGATGTTTCGTAGAAGCCAGAAATGTCCCAGAATTCATCAATGGAGGATCGAAAGGTGCTAGGAACTTGCAAGGGGACATTTAGGAAGGAACTCCCTTAGATGAACAAGAGGGCTGCGTGATCACCACCCTGGATCATCGGAAGGGTGGAGTTTCTCCCTGTGGTCAGTGTTCCCCCTTGACGGCAAGTATGTAGTATGGCCACTAGGTGGCAGTGCTCTCCAAGGTGAAAGCGGCTTTCCCAGCCAAGAGCCTCTCCGGGGGGGCCCTGGACATTTCCCACTCTTAACACAAGACAGGGCTCCGTTGAGACCTTACGTGTAGCCACACCGAAAACACCAAAGTGGAAACCACCACATGTGCAATCCTACATGGAGGTCAAATGCGGCCCTTTACTTACCCTTACGTTTCAGTGGAAAATTGGCCGTTGCCACCAGGTGGCAGCAGACATCTATTTGCGAGCTTCCACCAGCAATGGCTCTGCTTCCCAAGGGCCAGCTCTGTACCAGGCACTGTGCTGAGCGCTCTAGGGAGATTATTTCACTCAGTTCTTAACAACACTCCTTTGAACTACATACTAGTAGTATCTTCATTTTACAAAGGAGGAAACTCCCACTCAGGGAGTTTGAATAAGTTGGTGTGCCCATGACATGACCAGGGGTGGAAGGAGGATGCAAATCCGGGCAGCTTACCTCCCCAACTTTCCTTCTCATCGACTTGATTCAATAGCAAAACTTCCATCTTGGTCCTGGGCCAGTTCTGCTTTCTCTCAGCCCGGGGGGAACATGCCTTCAGGACAGGACAGCTGCTGACAGCCGGAAACTGGGTGTGGACACCGAAGTGGGGTTGTGGGTGGGGCATCGATAGTCCGTTCAAAGCTGCCAATGTCACTAAGAGCCAACACAGGCTAAAATTCTGGTTCCTTCCAGCTGGGCATGTGGTCTGCCCTCTACATTTTCACAAATGCTACTGAGTCATGCAAATGTCTTGGTGGCCCTAGAAATTATCTCCGGCTCTCTAGCCCAGGCACATTTTCATCGGCTCCTACTGTTCCCATGTACACACACACACACACACACACACACACATTTTACAGAATCACTCCACCTCTAGATGTCCACTTCTGTACTGAGTAGGGTAAAGCTAGACTGCCAACAAAGAGACCCAATAATTAATTCAGTGTCTGAAGGAAGACATTTTATTTCTGTCTCACATTACAGTTCAAGGGGAGCATTCAAGCTCTGAGGGCAGATTTAAGTTAGCGTCTTTGTCCTCCATCCCCTCCGGGACCTGTTGTCAAGGGCATGGTTCGGCTTTAGGAAATGGTAAGATGCAGTGAAACCATTTACCGAAAACATGGGTGTGCCCATTCCCTGGACCCTCAGTGGCCGTGGCTTCCCTGCATTAAGACAGTAGACTGGCTTTTATTTTATTTACTTATTTTTTTAAATATGAAATTTATTGTCAAATTGGTTTCCATACAACACCCAGTGCTCATCCCAACAGGTGCCCTCCTTAGTGCCCATCACCCACTTTCCCCTCTCCCCCTCCCCCCATCAGCTCTCGGTTTATTCTCAGTTAAGAGCCTCTTATGGTTTACCTCCCTCCAACTTTCCCCCCCCACCATGGTCTTCTGTTAAGTTTAGTGGAAACATATGGTATCCGTCTTTCTCTGTATGACTTATTTCACTTAGCATAACACTCTTCAGTTCCATCCACGTTGCTACAAAAGGTCATATTTCATTCTTTCTCATTGCCAAGTAATATTCCATTGTGTATATAAAGCACAATTTCTTTATCCATTCATCAGTTGATGGACATTTAGGCTCTTTCCATAATTTGGCTATTGTTGAAAGTGCTGCTGTAAACATTGGGGTACAAGTGTCCCTATGCATCAGCACTCCTGTATCCCTTGGGTAAATTCCTAGCACTGCTATTGCTGGGTAATAGGGTAGATACTATTTTTAATTTTTTGAGGAACCTCCCCACTGTTTTCCAGAGCTAGACTGGCTTTTAGAGATTAGGAAACTATTTCTAGAATTTCTATTGCTACCACAGAAGCTGGCAAGGGAACAATCCAAAGGAAGCCTGAGGGAATAAGCTGTTAAAAACGTGATCTAAGTCTCACATCCTCTCTTGATACATAGTCCCCATCAAGTTTATCCTTTCCCGGGGTTATAATGGCACAACCTATGGGAAGAGAAATAGTTACAAGGACAGGTGAGAGGAACACAGAGCTAGAAAGTCCCCTGCACTCATCAGGATATCCCATGCCTTTTAACACAAGGGATACCGCATGCCTCCTTGTGCATCACAGATACCACTCAAACACCCACGTCCCACAAATCCCATGTATCCCGGAAGCAGTGTTGGCATGCTTAATGGGGACTCGTGCGAAAGTTTCGCCTGGGCTGGGGAGCCTCAGGGACAATCACCGATAAAAATAAGCTGACTGTGCTCGGCTGCCCCTCAGTCATGCCACCTGTGTCTCACCCAGTGCGGTGGAGCAGGACTTTATGAAACGTGTCTGGGTCATGCAGCTGTTTGTACTTGAGCTACCTTCTCTGTTGTTGCAAGCCATGCAGATTGACCCTGAGAGGATGCTGGTGGCTGCTGAATACGTTTGCCGTATTTTTCGGTCCAAGTTAACGTCAGCTGGTCAGAAACAACCTCCCGCTTGCCTCCAGAGCTGCTGGAGCATGGCAGTGACACTTTGCTAACGCTACAGAATGTATTAACGAAAGATAAATGATGTTCTATAACCACGGGTTCATGAGTTGTTTGGGGGAGGGTTGTATCAATCTGCCAGCAAAGCTTAGTGGTGATAATGATATGCATCTGGTTTTGGTGGAGCCTGTGGGGTTTTGACCATTGAAGGCTGGCCGTGTAGCTTCAATATGCCTGGAGGACCAGCTCCCTACAAGAGACTCCCACCACAGGGAGACTTTGGGTTCCTACTGCTCAGGGTCTTTGCATGTACACCACTGAGGATATGGGACCTGTGTGACTCAGCAATGGGAGGACAAAGAAGACTGTTCCCGAGAGTGCCAGACCCCTTCTGATATGTCTCTCTCCTGAATTACACCCATTGCCTGTTACAAGGCTGAGCGTAGCACGTTTGAATCCCGTGAGCCCTGTCAGCAGCAGAGCATTTAAGGTAATTAAAGTGCAATTAACACACATTATCTTTTCGATGCACCTTCATAGTCTGTTCTTAATGTCACCTAAACCATCCGCTTGCTAAGTGCACTTGGTCCTTGGCAATCAGTCTGGTGACCCGGAAAGGTAAAGAAAGCCTCGTTACAAGGGGAATAATGAGGGCTCTAGGCTGTAACTCTCTGGCCTCCATAAACACGACCAAAGAGAACTCAGGTGATTTGCTCGAACAGCATGTAAGGTGGAGGAGGGGCACAGAGCCTCTCCCACAGGGAGTCTGTCACCTGCAGGGAGGACAGCGGGAGCACCACAGAGGAGCTTTCCCAGGAGGAAGGCAGCTGGGAACAGAGACGAGCACCAGGACGGAGCCCTGTGGACGAGACAGAGGGATGTACTCAGAGATGTGAAGAGGGAGCCACAGGGTTTGCTGGGTAAGCATACATAACTTTTAAAAATCCTAATGTATTGAGGTGAAATTCACATAACTTAATCATGTTTAAAGTGAACAAGTCAGTACATTGGTACATTCACAATGTTGTGAACTGTCTAGTTCCAAACCACGTTCGTCATCCCCAACAGACACCCCACAATCAAGCAGCCGTTCCTCGTTACCCCTCCCCCACCCTTGGCACCCACGAATTGCCTTTTGTCTCTATGGATTTGCCTGTTCCGGAAACTTCATATAGATGGAATCACACAATAAATGATCTTTCGCATCTGGCTTCTTTCACTTCGCATAATGGTTTCAAGGCTCATCCAATTTACAGCATGTGTCAGATCTTTCCTTTTTAAGGTTAAGTAGTATTTCCATTGTGTGGATACACTACATTCTTTTTTTCCTTTCTTTTTTTTTTTTTTTTTTTAGAGAGAGAGAGAGAGAGAGAATCTTAGATTCCACACTCAGCGTGAAGCCCAACACGGGGTTCGATCCCACAGCCCTGGGATCATGACCTGAGCTGAAATCAAGAGTTGGTGCCTCAACCGACTGAGCCACCCAGGTGCCCTGGATAGACTACATCTATCTATCCATCCACACATTGATAACCACTTGAGCTGTTTCCACCTTTTGGCTAGTGTGAGTAACGCTGCCGTGAACACGCACATACACTTTCAGTTCTTTGGGGGCACATACCTACGAGTGGGATTGTGGAATCATTTGGTAATGCTGTTTAACTCCACACATAACTTTCCATTGCACCTGTCAGGAGTTGGGGATTAGCAGAGGGTTGCTGGAGGGAAAGTTCAGTGAGCTCAGAGTCCCATCCACACAGAGGGGGCTGGGGTGGCTGCCTGGCCTCTAGCCGAGAGAGAAGGTATTAAGGAGCCATCAAGAAGCTTGTTATATGCTCTCTGGGGATTGGGGAGGAGGTAGCTGCCGGCTTCGTAACAACATAGCCAAGAGAGCTGGCTGTGCACGTTAGGCCTCCTCTCTAGAATTTGCGGGCACAAAGCATGGTGTGGGTGTCCACCGGAGCAGAGATGGGCCTCTCGTTCAAGAGGAGTGAGATGTCCTCAGGTCCTGCACACCAGGCTGCCCAGAGAAGGTCAGGAACAACAGCAGAAGGAAGCTGGGCTTCACTCCTGCGCACAGAAGAGCTGCAGATGAGTTACAGGCAGCCAGCTGGAGCAGGGGTACATCCTCTCGAGTCAAAGGAAGATCCCAGGGATGAGACGGTGGGTCTCAAAAACCAGGACAGAGAAAGTGTTGGCTTTCATTCTTTCCATGCCCTCTCATGGTGGTATTAATCAAGTAAGGTCTTACCTCACCTCCCTCCCTCCCAGCCACTACCGACTCCCAGCCCTGGAGAGGACAGGAACCTCTCTACGTTGTTTAGGATGAGAACTAGAAGGTCCGGGTAGGTGAGCACTAACCAGGCTTCCCACCCTTCCACTGCAGACCTCTAACCCCGAGCTGTGCGGAAGAAGTTTTACCTTTCAATGAAATCAGAGATCTTTTACTTGTTAAAAATGACACTGATAGGATGCATTAAGTTCTGTACTGAAACTGTGTTTTGCGACTTTGTGGCCAGAGCACTTCCCAATTCTGTGAGTGGTCAGAAAAGTGACTGGCCCAGCCATGAATTCCATCCATGACCATGGATTTTGTTTTTAATAAAACAAAATAACATAGTAAAATGCAGTATAGACCAGAGCTGTTAGGGAAGATTTACTGTTGGCATTTTAATTCTTTGGGCTTCTGGTCATTGCTAACCATAATATAACTTCGCTGGGGTAGAATTGGGATGGGGGCGCCTGGGTGGCTCAGTCAGTTAAGCATCTGACTTTGGCTCAGGTCTGATCTCGCAGTCCGTGAGTTCAAGCCCCGTGTCGGACTCTGTGCTATCGGCAGAGCCTGCTTCAGATCCTCTGTCCCCCTGGCTCTCTGCCCTTCCCCTGCTCATGGTCCCTCACTCTCTCGCTCTCACTCTCAAAAACAAACATTAAAAAAAAATTGGGATGGCCATAGTTCTTGAGATTCACTGAATAGAATGTTGCTTAAAAAGTGAATTTCTGGGGCGCCTGGGTGGCTCAGTTAAGCCTCCGACTTCGGCTCAGGTCATGATCTCGTGGTTCACGAGTTCGAGCCCCACATCAGGCTCTGTGCTGACAGCTCAGAGCCTGGGGCCCGCTTCAGATTCTGTGTCTCCCTCTCTCTCTTCCCCTCCCCTGCTCATGCTCTGTTTCTCTCTCTCTCAAAAATAAATAAACCTAAAGAAAAAAAAATCTTTTAAGTGAATTTCTTACTTAGCCTTCCCCTTCCTCCGACTCGACTTCTTAGTGTATTACCACTTGTGGTTTATGATTTGGGTTTAGGATTATCTGCCATATGTGTTATGCCTGTTCTATGTGCAGAAGCTTTGCTTACGTCCTGAAGAACAGAGCATGTGACATTCCTGGGCATCCACCTCTCTTGTCGCAGCCCAGAGTCTGGTACGCGGGAACAGCTCAGTACCCGGAAGAGATTTGTTCTCTCTCTACAACTAGACAGTTCACTTGCCAGTCACAACCCGGGAGCCTGAGCTCAGCAAGCAAGCACACTGGGCTTCTTCTCTCCACGCCACGGGCGAGCAAGGGGCTTATTGGAACAAAGGGCCGGGGGCTCTGTGCCCTTCCTACAGGGCTTGCAGGGGTGACTTTTCTTCCCTGTCACCTCCTTTCTCTCTCCAGCAGAGGCTACCAGGACTGCCCTTCTTTAGACCAGAATAGGAAACCGGGGCCGAAAGTCAGTAAGCGAACTTGTCACAGTGGTCTCTCCAAAGCCAGGAAGCAATGCTCCTCATTTCTGTGCAAGTGCTCGGAACACTAAAGGGATCTTTTTTTGCTTAAAGAAATCTATAAGAGGAAATCCACCAAATGTGACCCGTGCGTACCGATCACACGCGAAGGCGGGGAACAGCCTGTATCGTGACACGTGAGCCTGCCTCAGAGTCACCGGAAGGACGTTCTAAACCACCCTCCTGGGCCTCGCCCCCAGAGTTTCTGAGTCAGCAGGTCTGGACGGAGCAGATAATTCTCATTTCTGACCTGTGCCCAGCGAAGCAATTGCTGCTGGTCTGCAGAACCACGGAGCTAGGTGATCGGCTGGGGTACCACTGGTGACCCCAATCGCTACAAAGTCAATCACTCTGATATTTCTAAAGTGTCTCTATAACCCTCTGAAAATAACTCTTTGCCCACCCTCCTCATCTGCTGGATAAATACCAGAGACTGTGTTTGGGAGCTTCTTACCCAGACTACTCTGGGCCCTTGCCCTGAAGTGTTGCTCACTGAAATCATCGAGTTCACCGTCATCTGTGTATGGCTTCCAGTTCATCTCAACAAGAATCCTGAAATTACAGAACCCTCCAGCAAGAAGTGACCCATGTGCCTGGGCTTCCACGGGGGATGAAGGGCACACAGGTGGGCCCTAGAGGAAGTCCAAGGCTTTGTCTCCACCTAAATCTACCCCAGAAGGAATACAGTTGGCCTGTATTCCCCCTAGACCTGGGGGTGGGATTTTCCCATTCCCAAAGCTGGTGTGATACAATGTGCATGGGCTGTCTCCCCCGCAGGGTGGGTCCCGATCCCTGCTCCCCCTCTTTAGAAAGTCAAGCAGAAGAAGCATAGGACCCAAAGGAGAAGGGACATGAAGAAGAGAGGGAAGCCTCTGTCCCTTGAGTAATTTTGTTTGAGCCTCCAGCTTGCAATCCACGTGGTCCTAAGGTAATGGGTCTGGATGCTGAAAACGTTAGAATACCTGAGGGGAGCTACCAAAAATTGCCCCTGCTCAAACCCAGGTGGCCTAGACAGGCATCTGTAAACAAAAAAAAAAAAAAAAAAAAGAGGGTGGTGAGAATTTAACAAAGAGAAATGAAAGCAAATGCCACCAAAGGACACGTCCAAAGAGCAATACTAGCTTTATTCATGACGGCAAAAAATGAAAATAGGACATTGGGAAACTGTGGCCGGTTACTGGGAAGAGGCTGAAGGGAACTCTCTAGAATGTTGGCAATTTTTATCTTGATCTATGCTGTGTGTGTGTGGGTGTATCTATGAAAATAAGTATATATATATATATATATATATATATATATA